TTTGTTTATTTTTTGATGATTTGTTTTTATTACTTTATAATATAGTTATCGGGTTGTTTAATTAAATCCATGCATAAGTTTTTTGATTTACATCTAAGAGTGTTTTTGCTATATATATATATATATATATAGAATTTAGTAGAGGAAGCTATTTGGTCAATGCTTGCTAAAAAAAATTTAAACAGTGTAGGTGCTTTTAGATTGCTTTTTTTTAGAGGAAAAATTTATTTTCTATAACAAGTGTTTGAGGTATGTACCGTATTTATTTTATATATTAGATGTATATACATAAATAGATACATAAAATATTTTTATAAACACTTAATTAAGTTATTCAGGTTTTTGCGTTAATAAAGAATTGGCAAATATTTATTACTTTTTAGTTGTGCTAACAATTCCTAAAACTTCAATTTTCACACAAAAATTAGATTTTCATATTCTTTATGTTTATTATGCCACTTTTAGTTTTAAATTGTTCAGATAATGCTTATATAAGGTTAATGTTTCTTTACAATTTGATTTTTATATAAAGTTAAAAACAGTTTAAGCAAGTTTTTTTACTTAAAAGCTAAATTATAATCATTTCAATGCTACTAGTTATTAATTGCATATTTAAAAAGTGTCTTTTTTTTTAATTGTCTTACAATTAAAAGTTGCGATGCAATTATATATAGTAAAACCCATACTGAGCTGTTCATAATTTCTAGTTGAAGAGTAATGCAAAGGGGTGAAGGCTTGAATGGCAACAATGAGAAGATAGATGGTGTCGGCTAGACTTTTTTCTTAAAGTCAGTTTAATGGGCCGAAGGCCGAAAGCCCAGATATTAGAAAGACCGGCTAATTGTAGTGGGCATCTTTTGAAGATTGTTGGACCTTGGAAATATATTAGGTTTTTCAAACCCAATCTGCAGGCCCAGGCCTGATAGTAGAAAAACAGTTAATTACTGGTAGTAACCCAAGGGCAATAGAAAACGATCCATGGTGGCTGGCAAAACCTCACACCCAACTTTATTGTGACGCCACGCTCGGCGGTGTTGTTTCTGGCAAATAGGGTTCGGCAACTTTGGTTTGGTACACCGACGGGGACAGGTCGAACCGCTCCATTCATTACCACACGTGAGAATCAGAAACGAGTAGGACCAAATTAGTGATTTTCTTTTAAATAACACGGTTTCATACAATTTTTGCAAGAATAATATTAGTTGGAAAAATATCAGAGAAATAAAACAATTTAAATACAATCATATTTTTTAATATTATTTTTGTATACGGTTGTTTTTCAATACATATATTTTTTGCTAATTCAATAATCTTGAATTTTTAAAAGATGATATTTAAAATTTGATATCTACAAAAAAAAAGAAATGTGTCAGAAAAAAATAAAAAAGACAAAAATGAGTTACCAAAAATACACTGTAACTCTATGTTTTCAAACCCGGTAAGGTGAAAAGGAGTTCAACAGAAACAATTTTAATCACACCTTAAAAAACTATAAAACAAAATCATAATTAATCTTAAATTAATCTCATCAAAATTCTTAAATTAAATTTTTTTTAGATAATCTGTCAATGTATGAATATAATTATTTTATTAAGATCTTTATAATAATATTGTTATACAAAAATAGAATATTAATGTGTTCTTAATAATATATATATTTTTGCTATTTTTCTCTCATACAACATCAGTTTATATATTTGTTTTAATTACTAGATCTTGAATTTTATTTTTTAATGATTAAGTTTTTATAAAATTTTAAATTAAATTTTGAACATATTAATTAATTTAAATAAGATATGACTTTTAAATTTTCATATAAATTATATTAAAACTTTGTTACTTTCATAATATTTTTATAACCCGCGATTTTTCTAAAACTTCAATCGAAATATTGTTAGAACGGTAAAAGGAGCCGAAGTAGTCACACGTCAGCCAATCGAAACCACGGCCCCAACTGATAAGGGGTTGACATTTTGGAAACCCTACACGACAGTATTTGGTTCAAAACAAGTTAACCTGCGCCCACTTGACTACTCTCTTTCGGCCTTGTTTGCAGATTGCGACAAAGCAAACCTAAGCCCACTCTGACAGTCAACCACAGCTTGTCCTTATGCGGGGCATTTGTAGGATTCACCAAAGTCAAAGCCAAAAAGAGACATAACTTCCCACACTTTGAAGCGACCACTCAAATTCTACCTCAATTTGGCTAAATGTGATCATGTGAAGTGCACGTTGATGGTGAATTCTCACCACTCCCTCCTTATTTGGCATTATCTTTTAAAAATATTTAATCTTTTTTTAATCTTTTAATTTATTTTAAATTAATAATTTTTAATATTTTAAAATTATTTTGATATAATAGTATAAAAAATATTTTTTTAAAAAAAATATTTTTTTAATATATTTTAAAATATAATCATAATGACATTCTCATTCCTCGTAACAATTATTTCAAAGGAAATTAATGCTAATAATAAGATAGATTTTTCCCTTTTCAAAACTTTTTTTTATCCTTACTTTAATCTTTAACTGAAATAATAAATAATAATCTTAGTGCAAATATTATTTGCAAAACTTTTATCTTTACTTATTAGAGGTCGAAGCTTGTTATTATTATTTTTTTATAAAAAACCCCGCCATTTTACCCTAATATCAAATTTATAGATTAATGTGTGCACCTGCCATACAATCACCGTAATTTACTTTTTTTCAACAGCAAAATAAATAAACAAACAGATAAATAAATTTGCATATTGAAACATCAACTCATAATTAACCCCGTATCATTTTAATGTGTGAAGAAGTAATGTCCCATCACTAAATCATCATTTTCATATCAAAAATCAACAAAAAAAAACTCTAAAAAATATAATTTAACTAACCAAATTTTAAATTTATTCTTTAAAAATCATGAATTCAAGTGTTATAAATTTTAAAATCACTAAAAATTTATATAATTATTAATTTTAAAATCTCAAAAAACTGATTAATATATATATATAAAATGGACACTCGCGGTTAAAAATAAAAAAATCTACAATAAAAGAACTCAGGTAGACAACTTGCAAATCTTGTCCTAAATTCAGAGACGTTGGGAGACTGCAAACATGGACATTGGAGCTAGCTTTGGCACGTCTAATTATTTTTTGATCGATTAAAAAGCTGCCATCCCTACTCGACTTGCTTAAAAGTTGATCTTCTTGTTGATAATATCACTATTCGAACGCGTCCGTGCATGACAAACGAACTAATTGGTAATGGGTTTCCTTTTAAATCGTTTGGTACTTAATTAATCACAGCATAATTTGACTCAACACCAGCTAGCTTCAGGAGTTGGGATCTGGTGAAGTTTCTTTTTCTTTTTATTTTTGGGAATACAAATGGATGTAATTATCAGTTATTCTTTTTTCGGTTTATTGCATTTGTTATAGGGAGAAATCCCGACCTTCCCTTCTTCTTCCCCTGTTCTTCATTTCTTATTTCTTTTGATTTTTTTAAAATAAAGTGTGGTGTAATATGTAATATTTATCCATTCATTATGTTTTAATTATAAATTTAAAAAATTTCAATAAAATTGATGAGCATGATGATGTTTTGATATGCATTGATGAGGTTAGCTTAATCCCATCAAAACTTAATTAAATTTCGGTCCTCTGGACATGGAAGAGCTCAATTGTACCAAAGATTTCTTTTGATTTGTTTTAAATAAAGTGTGGTGTAATATAATATTTATTCATTAATTATGTTTTAATTATAAATTTAAATAATTTCAATAAAATTGATGAGCATAATGATTTTTTGATATGCATTGATGAGGTTACCTTAATCCCATCAAAACTTAATTAAATTTTGGTCATTTGGACATGGAAGAGCTCAATTGTACCAAAGTGAGGTGTTAACAATGATGCATTTATGTGTGTTGCATGGTTTTCAATGTGCTTTTACATTAGTTATGGAATCTTGAGCTTTTTAGTAATAAGAATGTTATTTATTATAAAATGTCTATCAAAATATATAATTTGAAATTGTAATCAGTTAATTGCTTTACTTCATGAACTTGTAGCTTGTTTAGTTTTTTTTATATATATAAAAAAAATGTATTAAAATATTTGTTAATTAATTATTTTTGTTAGCATATTTTTTTTTTTTTTTTAAAAAGCTTTTTAGCGAAGTAGATTAGTGGAATGGATTTGCATTATTAAAAAAAGCTTTTTAGCGTAGTAGATTAGTGGAATGGATTTGCATTATTTATTTTTATGGATCTATGCACGAGGTAATTCAAGAATAATTTATAACACACACGCACGCACATATATATATATATATATATATATATATATATATATTATTTTTCCAGATCAATATAAATAACCCGTTATCCGACTTCTTGGCTAAGGATCAAGTTAAGTAGCGGAAGCATCCATAACTAATAATGTATGCTCAACTGCCATAAAGTTAAGTATTCAAGAGAGAAGGGAATGTTTACCAATACGACATCTATTGATGAGAATTGATAACTTAATTAATGGAGATGTATGATTCTTATTGATTCTTTAGTGGTTGACTCTCGCTTGGGTTGAACGAGGGTAGTGGGTCAGGTAGATTAGGTTCCCCTTCATTCATCCATGCCATCAAAACAATAGAACAAGACAGAGAAGACAGAAAATGAAATTTCAAGGAAACACAAGAGGTGCAAACGGAAAAAATGGCGAAGCGATCAATCATTTCACATAATGGAAGGACACCACTCTACAATCAACCACCTTTCCACGTCAACTTTTACATGCTCAAGAGCATCATAATTTCTCCCTCTGGCTGGTAGATGCAGTCGATTATCACATTTGACAGTCGGTAGACTTCTTGCAAAAGTCAAAGCAGATGATGACATACAAGATAGCAAGACAGCTCTTCTTTTTTGTTTTTTCCCCCCTTCTCTCCAGCAAAAAAACAAAGTAAAATATTGCTTTAAAGGTCAAGAGGGCACGTAGAGGTCACAAATTCCTCTTCATCCACGCCACGCCCCTCTCCTCCTCCCCAACCTCCCTCTTGCTCACTTCTCTTATCACTTGCTAGCTCTCGGTTTCTTGTGCTGTGAGGTAGAGGTAGAGAGCGGGCATGGAAGGAGAAGTAAACAGCAGTAGTTGGTTTAGTGAGAGTGAAGAGGACGAGCTTGTGAGAGAGCTCCTTGATGATGTATCCCCTTTCTTTTTCTTGCCAGAGGAAAAAAACCAATCCAAAGCAGCAAGTCCCACTCCAAGGAACGAAGCAGCTATGAACCAGCTCATTTCCCAAGTCTATTCAGGGCCAACAATGCAAGATATTGAGAATGCTTTGTCGATGACAAGCCGAAAAGACCAACCCGAACCAGTTTCACAAGCCAGGTTTGGAATCGATCCACTCTAGATTAATTATCCTTAAATAAACTTGAATTCTATATATAAATCTATAAATTAATCAAGGTCTTGTTAAATTTTATTTTATATATATATTTCCAGATTCTCATTGTTGCAAAAGGGATTGAGTAAGATTGAGAACAACAAGTACACTGTAAAACTGAAGAGCTGTGACAATGTTGTTGCTGGTGATGGTTATAAATGGAGGAAATACGGGCAGAAGTCTATCAAGAATAGCACACATCCCAGGTAACTAACTAACCATCTCCTTAATCTTCTTTTCTTTACAGTTGATACAATCTCTTCTAACTCTGATGAATTAACAGTTACTGCAGTATATAATTCCATAGCTTAACTCGCTGACTGTTAGGATCAATCATCAGATGAAGAACATGTACTCGAATTTAGAATTTTGTTGATTTGTTAGCCAGCAATAGTTTCTAAAACATCACCTTTTCAGGGTTCCGTCACCAGCTTAAGAAGTTCTAGTACAACATCCAAAGGATGACAGAAATTTGAAAATCTTCTCTGGTCAAATGCGAGGGAAGTAATCCACCATTAAAAAAACAAAAAATTCAACAGCAAAAGCATGAATTTACTGTTTTTTTTTTTGTTGCTGTGGAGACTTCTATATATCCAACAACAAACACAAAAAATGGTGCTAAAGACGTTAATCATAGTCATTTTCCTAACGAAATTAGCACCACCCCAAGGGTTTTATTTTATTCTTTCCTTTAAATTTGGCGATTCCCAGATTAATTCTGGACAACGATTCAGCTAGCGGACCTAATTAAAGCATAAGTATTCAACTTTGTATTTAAAGCTTCCTACCTGAACCGTCCTATTTTCTATTCAGATTGCCAAATGCCAACCCAAGCCACTCGATGTCATAGGATGGGAGTGTGTCTCTAGATAGTGAAAGAGATGGGTCCTAAAATACAAGCTCTTTAAAGAAAATTGATGTGCTTTGATCTAAAATTAAATATTAAATAGGTTTAATCAAAAATTAAATAACTAGTTAATATCGATGAGTTTTTCCTTACTAAAATACATTTTTTGTTCTACCGGAAGTTAATTATTTACCAAACATTAATTTTATCTCACAATAGAGGTCAACAGAAGTTAATAACAAAAAACTTGCTGACATATATCCATGTTGTGTCTGGAACAGAAGCTACTACAGGTGCACGAACCGACGGTGCGGTGCAAAAAAGCAGGTGGAGAGGTCCAGCGAGGATCCAGACACGCTCGTCATCACCTACGAAGGGCTCCATTTACACTTTGCTCACCCATATTTCTTATTGAACCAGCCACAACATGGTGATCCGCCTTCCAAGAAACCTAAGAGGACCATCTCAGAGGACGAGTTTCAAGCCCATGAAACCCGACAACCACCAGAACAAGGCCAAGAATGCTCCACACATGTGACCAGTCCTGGTTCCCTGCCTAGCTCAAGCACAGCTGATGATTACATGCAAGAATCGGATCTGGGAGCGGTGGGTCCTCGAGGGTTGCTTGAAGATGTGGTGCCTTTTATGATTCGAAACCCATCGAACTACAATGTGTCGTCTTATTCTTCATCGTCGTCCCATCGGTCTCCCCCTGCTTCACCATCTTCCTCCTTGTCTTGGTCCCCCAATCTTTCCCATTCGTGTTTCGATGTTGGCATAAACACTAGCATTGGGTGAATTAGCAGTGTATAAGTGCGTAAATTGACAATAAAAGATTACTGCCCATGTTTTTTCCTTTTATTCAATCTCTCGACCCCATCGAATTCGAATTCCAGAAACCCAGATTTTTAAACTCAACACTCATTGTTTTTACCTATTTTTTTTTTTAAAAAGTTCGATTTGCCATCCAAAATTAATCGCGAGGAAGGTGCGGCAATTACAATTATAATTACAAAATCAAACTATACTATTTTTTTTTAATTTGTGGCATTACACACAATTACATTGTGGTTATTACTGAGAATAAATATAGTTCTTTTTTTTTTGGTCATCGAACAATTATTAGATTTTGGTTACTTAAGATTTTTTATTTTCATTTTATCCTCTTACGTTATTATATTCACAGGTTTTAATTTTGATATTTTATTTTGGTTCAAGAGTTACCTCATGGTTGTGGTGTTAACAAAAATCCCTTGGTTGAATTTAAAAAATTAAATTAAATTAAATTAATTAAAAATTTATTTTATTTTGCATTGTTCACAAGCTCAAAATACAACCGCTTGGTCCATTAAATTTTAGTTTTATTATTTTTTATCTCTATATTTTGAGAATTTCACGTTTTAGCCCTTAACTTTATTATTTTACATTTTGATCATTGGAATTTGAGAGGACAAAGAAAGTGTTCAACATGTGAATATATGAATATTCAAATAAACTCATAGTTTATGGATATTGGTATGTTAGTTGTCAATAAGATATATTGTTATAACAAATTTGAATTTATATATATGTTTACTTTAAATGTAAATGTTGGTGTTGTAAGTCCAAAAATTTCTAAATAAAAAACCATAATAAATTCTATAATTGAAGTAGGGCAATTATCTAATAAGGCAACAAAAAAATTGTTTGTATCAAGATGCTAATCACAAAACTAGGAACGGTTCCTATTATTGTTAATTTAGTGGCCATATATTGTGATAACAATAGAGCCACTACATAAATAATATCAAGATCTCATCAATGATCAAAACTTGTACTTAGTTGATACCATTTGATGAAAGAAATCATATGAATAAAAAATGTAAAGATAAAATGAGTATATACTAAAAAGAATCTTATAGATCTCATTAATGTCATAGCAGAAACATTACCATCATATGGAGTAATATGATACTAAATACATGGACAATTAATATTAGTAAAAGTGTATAAGTCTTGTAGTTAATCATTTGGTTATATGGCAATACATTTATTCATACAAAATATATAATTTTATTTATAAAGATATTCTTTATCTTTAATTCTCATTTAAGTTTGATTAATAAGTATAAAGTAATAATAAAGTCACTGAGAAGTTTTGCAAAGAAAATTATAAAGTGATTATAATTATGAAGATTTTTATTATATCAAGGTATATTCTAAATGTTCTTAGTTAATCTTCAATGAAGACTATATATTAATTAGAGTAATTAAGGTTTTTATATATTATTTTTTTTTCTTCATAAAAAAATAGTTGTTTTCATAAATTGAGATATGATGAATACTTAAAACTAATATATACGTGCTTATTAAATGACAAGTATACTAAACTAAACCGTATGAAAATTTCATACGAAGTGATTACACATGTAAATGGAAAAACTTATATGATAGTTGTGTAAATGATCTTTAGACTTGAAATCACCAAGTTATTTTAAATATGGTATGCTATTTTTTTTGTCTTAAATATACATTACCTTAATCAAAGATAACAAATAAGCAGATATTAAGTATAATATAAATTATATAAAGGTCTCTGATTTGAGTGAGAATTCATCACTTTAGATGAATTTAAAAGAATGTTCTATATGGTTTCAGATAATAATGATTTTAAAATCCTTGTGTAAGGTATTGTGAGATTTGAAAAGAATTCATATTCAAAGAATCAATGACTTTGGAGTTGAGAACAAATATAATTTTATAAAGTAGAAATACTCGATGCTTAAATGTTAAAATGAAAATATTCTAGATGAAGGGAAAATAGTGACATTAAGAAATTTGTCACTAAAAAGTTATATTAGACCATATATAACTTTTTAATATTTGAAAGATTATGACATGTTATTAGATACCACTCTTAATCTTCAAATATAAATTAATTAATTTGTTAAATTAATAATAAATTAAATTATTTAATTTATCTAATTTTATTTTATTTAAGAATATGATTTGTATTTAGTCCAACATATTATGAATCTAATGCATTGCACATATTAAGAATCATTAGTAAAAAAAAAAAAACTATGATGATTAATCTCTTAATTGTAAATATGTTGTAAAAATTAAAAACTAGAGTTAATTAATGTAGGAAATTAAAATTCTAGACCTCAAAATATCAAGTAAAGACTTAATTGCATAAAGTTTTAATAATTGTCTTTAAATAAAATAGGGTTCTTTGGTATTAATTTTTTATTTGTCTATAATTTGTTTTTATCATATTAATGTTCCACGTTAAAGAATTTTTATTGGATAATATTTTCCAATAAAGTTTTAACCTTAAAAATAAATGGATTCCACTTATAGTTTGCTCTCAAATATGTTTATTAACTATGTTATTAAAATAAATTTCTAACAAGAAAATGGGAAAGGAAAAAAAAATCTAATTATATGATTGTAATATAGTATTATTAAAACAAAGGTATGTCCTATAATTGCTCAATACTATATTTATAATAAATAAGTGGTTATATAATTTTTTTTATCATTTCAATAATAAGGTTAATAAAAATGAAAAGTCTAGGGATAATAATATTGTGATAAATGGTTTGAAGAATATAAAATTGAAAGGAAAAACATTTTGGAATATATAAAAGAATTTATAAAAATAATGCATGCTATCACAACTAGGTAATAAGGTATCATAAGTATATATAGTATATATGTGGCTTTGAATAGAGATGAAACATGATTGATTATACTAAAATAAATAATGTTGTATATTTCATTTATACATGATTAACATAGAGAAATTTAAGCCTAGCACAAATATATTCTAAAAATATCAGGGCTAACATACATAGCATATATTAGTTATCTTATTCTAATAGAAAAAAATAAACATTTTATATTTATATTGTGTTACCAATTAAATTTTCTTAGGATTTATGGTGAGACAACAACCACCTCTATATTTCACAATATTTAGTAAAAAATAGATCAAATAATATCATATGTGATATTAGGATTCAAAAAAATCATAGGAAATCAATAGATTTAAACTATAGGAAAAAAAAACAATAATTAAAAAAACTAAAATGGAAGAGGGGTTTTAAATAATATAGCTCTAGACTCATTTATACTATAGATTGAAACTATAAAATTATAATTTTATCCTTTTTACTGTGAGAAAGCATTTAGCCTGATTATTGGAGATAAAAAGGTCTTTATATATATTTTTTACATGGTAAAATTATTAACTCACTATTGAAAGCAAAATATATTGTACTTGCATCTAGGGTATGTTTAGATTTTTTATTTTAAATTATAGTAAAACAACTATATTGACTTTGAAATTAAAAAAACTTTAACTAGCATTCAAGGGCTTTTTCATCTTTTTATTTTAGTTTTTTTTTTGTTATTATCAAATTAAATGAGGCATTTTTGTAATTGAATAAATATAAATATTATAAAACAAGTGATTGACATGTGCATGGCATATCGGTTGAAGTTGAGCCATTTTGACGGCATGTTTGAGGTGGTCCGATGGATAAATGGTGGCTTTTAAGGCGTCATTCTAATCATCTTGGTAGTCATTCCATTTCTAGATGGCACGTGTGGTGTATGAACCTCTAGTTTGGAATTGACATCATTTTCTTTTCTTTTTTTCCTTTTGTCTCTTCTCCTTGATTTTTACACTGGAACTTTGAATTTTCAAAGTAGTTTTTCAATTTATTTTTCTTTAGAATTAGTCTTTATTTTTTTAATTATTATTTATTTTGTTTGAAATGATTTATAAAATTGATTATTTTTTAAATTTCATCATTCTTTAATTTTTTTCATATGTCAGATTTAATTCTTATTTTTTTTAATTATTATTAGTTTTGCTTTATTTTAAATCCCTTTCTTAATTAAATATATATTTTAAGTTTCATCCCTCAATATTTAATTTAATTTAATTTAATATTAAATATGATACTTATTCTTTTCATTGCTATTTGATTTAATTTGGCAAATGTTTTAGATTGAAATATCTTTTTATTTTCTCATTTAACATTGAATTAGTTGGGAATTAAGCTTCTTGTTTGAACATGAGCCTAGGATTACACTGTTTACGGGTTTTAAAAATTAACTGAAGTTTAAGAGATTCATTTCATTTTGCTTGTTTTTTTCCCCTTTTTTTGTGGTCATATTGTTTTTCAGTTTTATCCTCAAGCATTTCTTTTGTAACTCTTCAATTTGGTTTCAAATTTAATCCAACCCAAAATCAATTAATACCTAATTAAGGCTCAGCTAGAAAAAGAATAATGTAAGGAAAAATAAAGACACAAATTGTCCAATCGAGTTAGCTTAGTATAGTCGTGTCCATTACTCATGTCATAGATTTTATATATTAACCCAAGTCAGTACAATGTATTTTCATCTTTTTATTTAACTTTTTATTTATTTTTATGATGTAATCCTTCGATAGTCCATTATTTCACATTTAAGTTGGGAGTAGGTTGAAGTTAAAAGGATGACAACATGATTTCTTTTGGGAAATTACATTTAACATCCTATGGTTTGGTGATTAGTACTTAAAAGTACATTTTTATCAAGGTTTTATATCATCATTTTACACTTGAAGTATCAATAACTCCTTAACTAAAGCATGTTTTATAATAATATAAGATACCTTTAATTTATGGTAAATGTTCATTTCAAATGCAGGCCTATCATATAAATGAAAGGATTGATTGATGAATTTAAAAAC